GTTTGATTTACTTCTACTGCAGTTAGTCTCGAGTTACTTCGGATCTTGTAAATGTCACAAGGTCATTTCTTCATCATTAAGGTTTCATCCTCACATTTCCATTTTGAAAATTGCAATGGTGAACCATTTTACCCCTCACTGTATGTAGATAAGATTGAGTCACAACGACGACGTTCTACACTGCAGTATAAAACGACGTTGTTTCAACAAGAAAAAACTATTCCACTTCGTCTTCTTCTTGGGAAAGAGAGAGAGTACAAATCCCGCCCAAAAATTGGGTAAAGAACCACCGCCTTTCGCCGACGAAGATGGCTGTTCCGGTGAAAGAAATCAGCGATAGTAACGGAGTCAGTCGAGAAGAATTTTCCCTCAACCAATTGTCGCTGCCTCTTACGGTTGAAGAACCCTCGCCGGAGGTTTCGATAAACGTGAAATCGCCGTCGGAGGTTCATTCTACACCGCCGAGGATGACCGATTCAGTTCGGATTTCAAATCCGCCGGAGGAAAAACAACGAAGAGAAGGTATCGAAGCTGCTGAAGCTTTAATGGCGGCATCTCGAGCGAATGTGGTAGTAGTAATCTTCTCTTTCTCTCTGCACTGTATACTATTGTCTTGCTGTTTTATTGATGAAAAGCTCAAGAACATAACCTGGGAATGAAGAATTGGAATCTTAGTTATTGTCTCTTTCTTGATGGTCTTTCTTTTAGTTTGCCCTTTCTCTGATTTTCGTAAGATAGTTCTAAAGAATGGAACTAAATAAATGTTGTTGCTTGCATTTGTCTGTTCAGAATCGAAACATCAAGGAAACTTGTGTGTGTGAGGAATCCGCTGAGACTGTACCAATGGTGATCCATTCACGTAGGACGCTGCTGAATTCTTCTCAAGTGAATGATAAACTCATCGATACATTCTGCGACACAACTGGTGGAGCCACTCGAGCAGAAGCAACCGCTTGCCTTAATCTCTGCAATTGGGATGTAGGCCTAGCCGTCAACTATTTCTTTGACCATCCCTCCTCGCATGGTGGGTTCTCAGAGGAAGAAACGCTCGCGGTGGTGGAAATGAATTGGCAGGAGAACAGTGGAAATCAAGGTCACTCGAAAGAAGGCGAAATCGGGAACTCTTCTAGGTGATTTCATTTTCTCTTTTTTTTTTTGGTCTCCAAGAAGTAAAAATGTTGGTTTCTAGAGTATGCTTAGTTTGAATATCTCACCTGTCCTTTCATGATAGTTAAACTTCCATATCTGAATCTTTTATTTTTTCCTCTATTCACCTACTTGTACAGTTCGGTTCATGCGGACTCGACCAAGACGGGAAGGCCATCTAACGAAGCTGGTCTAGTAAATGTCCCTGTAGCTGTTTCTGGAATTGCGACGTCTCAAGTGGTTGTATGCAACCTTGTCTTTCTCTCTGCACTATTTTACTATGGCCTTGCTTGTTTGCTCGAATTGTGTTTGCTACAATCTTTATACTGAAAAACAGAATCTATCATTTTGGATTTTAACATTCTACTAGTGTCTTGATGGGTCGTTCTTTGCCTTGGCCTTCTTAAGATAGTTAAATAGAAAGGAAGTCACTTCTTAAGACAGTTTTCTCTTCATAATATGTCAGGAAAATTGGAAGCCTGAGGCTGTTGACGAAGATCCAAGCACGTTGACAGGTCCTGATCCTTTGGCCACCAAAGACAGGGTCATTGTGGGGTCTCGAGCTGGGCCGGTTATCACCGAGATAACATTACAAGTCTTATTGCCCGATGGTAGGAATGGGAAAGAGGAGTTCATGACTTTTAGATCAGACCAAACCGTCAGAGACATCCGCAATAGGATTCAAGAGTTGAGACCAGATTGCAACAGAGACTACTACTTGACGTCTGTGGAAGGGGAGATATACAATGCTTTGAATACAACTGTACAGAGAATTCATTCTCGTGGTGCAACAAAGCTCCTCAAGGTCTTCTCCGATTCGTAGGTTTGGTTTTGCACAGTTTCCACTGATTGATGAAATATAGAGAGATAGAGAGAGACGTATATGACTTTAGAAAGTATTCTTGCTCAACTAGTATAAAAAAGGAAAAAATATAGAACACAGCAGCTTCATACTTGTTTTTAGAGAGTTCTGATTATAGATTTGACTCTGTATAGTTGCTACTACTCTCATTGATGGAAACATAGAGAGAACTGAAACATTTGCTCTTGTCTCCTCTGTTTTTGTTTTCATAATACTTTACCAAACAGAGCAGCTTTTTTACATTTTTCTGTCTGACGAATAAAAAGGAGTACAAGATCTGTGTTGTTACTTGAGAATTTACCCTTGCTCTTGGTTCCACATTGTATCCTCTTCCCAGCCTCTACATATATTCTTATTCGTTTATCTTTGAAGAAACAGAGTTGTATATGAATATGACTACACAAAACTCAACATTATTTTTAGGAGAAACATAGGGAACATGCTTCAATTACTACAAGACCATGTACTACTTGACAAACATTCAAATTTCAAACGCACAACCAAAGCAAGTAAGTAATAACTCTACAAGACATTCAGAGATCAAACACAAAACCTGAAACAACTCTAACGGTATCTGCGCTTATTTGGACCGATTATCTTGACGAGCCACTCCGGCTTATATGATGCGATGACTTGTGCTATGACCAATCCAAGCAACACTCCAAGCCCATACCCTATTACCACTGCTTTCCAGCTCAACACTTCATTATCTTTCTCTTCTTCGTCTTCTTCCTGAGGATGTTTTGTTGGCGGCGTATCAGTACCAAAGCAGCTTTCTTCGAGAGGAAGACCACAAAGCCCTGCATTCCCTTCAAAAGATGATTTAGGTTGCCCTGTAATCTGTGTTCCTTGTGGTATTTCACCCTTGAGTTGGTTATGAGACACGTTTACGTACGCCAAAAATGAGAGGGTCCCAAGTCCATTAGGAATAGTCCCTGAGAGTTGGTTGCTTGAAAGGTCTAGTGATTCGAGCTCCGTAAGATTGGCTAAAGACAGAGGGATATGGCCTGTGAAGGCGTTGTTCGATAAGTTGAGCGCAATCAATTCCTTCAAGAGACCAATTGATTCAGGAATCTGTCCTTCAATTTTGTTTCCAGAAAAATCAATGGTGCTATACGAAGTAAGGACATTCTCTTGCTCCATAGATAGACCTTTGTATTGCAAATCTATATGTGTATAAATAGCGTAAGCTTCTTTGATTTCTTTGCTTTTGTATATCATATATATACTCCCATCTTCATTCCCCTTGTCTGAAAATCTTTTCCAATTCACAAAGTAACTTGGTGACAAGCTTCTAGTAAAGTTGTTATCCGATATTTCAAATATGCGCAGCTCGGGGAACGCGAGGGGACCTTGATGAGGAGGAGAGATAGGACCATAGAATTTGTTTGAACGGAGGATAAGGACTTTCAGACCTGGCAAAGCCTTGAGCCAAAATGGAAATGTATCTTTAATCTTGTTGTGCTCAACACTTAAAAACTCTAGAGAAGAGCAATTAACAAGAGACTTTGGAAGCTTCCCAGTTAGTTGATTGTAGCCAACGTCAAGTGTGCGCAACAAAGAACCGGCATAGAATATGTCTGGCAGACTTCCTTCTAAATTGTTCTTCCGGAGACTTAGTGTCGTCAAGTTACTCAGACATTGTGGAATTGGACCGGTGAAATTGTTGTAGGCTAGATCAAGAACCATGAGAGAGTTACGGTTGCAGATTGAAAGAGGTATGTTTCCCGAGAAATTGTTGCCCTCCACCGAGAAGGTAATGATAGGGAGTGGTAGATGAGGAAGTGCTCCTTCAAAATTGTTAGAATCCAAAGATAACACCTGCACTGATGAATTTACCAAAACATCCTCCGAACCATCGAAACCGTGGAGAGAATTGTTAAAAAGAGACACTGTAGTCAAGAAAGGAAGGCTCCAAAACCACGCAGGGAGTTTTCCTTCAATTATATTGCTGGTTAAGTCTAGAAATGTCAAGTTGTGAAGAGTTTTGAACATGTTTGGGAACTCAGTGATATTGCAGCCTGACAAGACCAACTCTTCCATGGTCAATGGAATGCCTGAAATTGAACTTAAACTTATCGGGGATACAATATTACCGGATAGATTAAGGTACGTCAAAGATTTGAGAGAGGAAAAGACAGTTAAGTCAATAGGGTAGCTAATGTTTTGGAAAGAAAGGTCGAGATTTGTGAGGGTGATGAGCTTTGAGATAGGTTTTAGAATTTGGCCTTCAAATTGGTTATGACCAAGGAGCAGATATTGGAGCCTAGATGAAGATGAGTTGGGAACTTCAATAGGACCGGTGAGATGGTTTTCTCTCAAATCAAGAAAAGACAAGAAAGGCATGGTGAACAGAGAAGACGGAATGCTTCCAAACAAGTGATTCTTGGAAAGGTCTAAAACTGAGAGTTTGGTTAGATTATGTATAGGTGGAAAACTACCAGTGAGGAAATTTTGGGAAAGGGCTAAAAAGGAAAGCATGCTTAGGTTACTAAATGAGGAAGGAACTTGACCTTTGAAGCCATTAAAGGAAAGATAAAGAACCTCCAATTTGTTGAGACTGCCGAAACCAGAAGGGAGTGAAGAAGAGGTGAAATCATTGTGAGAGAGAAAGAGGTAACGGAGATGACGTAAACTGAAGAGGCTACTGTTGGGCCTTAGTGTTCCACTGAGACAGGCCCTGAGTCGCAGCTTCGTGACTGCACCCGTCGTGTTATCGCACCAGACTCCATTGAAGTAGTCAGTTTGGTTGCAACTACTGGAATCAAACTCGCTCTTGAACTGTGCAAGGGCTTGAATATGACTGGGATGGCAAGTAGCAAGGCCATCAACAGGATCTTTTGAATGAAAGAGGCTTGACTCGGAGACGCAACATAGTAAGAGTACCAAGAGAAAACAAAAAGGTTGACGTGAACCTCCCATTAGGGTCGTCAAGAGAACTTGTAACTCTTTAAGCAAAGAGAATTCGGAGAAGATTGATGTAGATGTGATTTGGCAATGAAGCTATTGGCACTTATCTTATAGATAGAGATGTTCACGGTCAATGTCATTAAGTCTTGCTCTCTTGGAAGTAGCACTTACTAAAAGTATATTGGAGTTATTGAAAAGTCTTTCTAATTGCTAGTTAATTAATTTTTCTAACGTATGAATTGGATTGGAATATCACATCAGTTTGAAATTTCCCAACTTAGCAAAACGACAGACACATTGGATACGTTTCTGGATTGGACAAGTTATCTTCCAATGCAAAAAGAAACACACAAATAAAACAATAAGTTTATATAGTTCAAGCAGAATGTGATATATTATGCTTGTGATAACACATGTTTTTAACCCTATCAA